TTGTTTTAACACAAACCTGGCAAGAGTCAACTCATCATTTTACAGATAAATTGCTTTTGTTGTTATTTCACTCTTGCAAAACAAAGATTAGAGCTTGATTGTAGTGGAATTCTGACACCTGTGAAGCCCATTTTGGTTTTTTTTAGCTAAAATAGGTCATAGCTTCAGCCTTAAACTTTGCGGGTGGGGATTATGTTCTTTATAGCTATAACCTACCTTGACACAATTGGTCTTTGATGTGTTGGATGGACACTAATAGAAGGAGAAATGCCATTCAAAACAAGAGGAAACTATGTTATTGCCATACATGAGCCTGTTTAGGGCTGGATCCAACATCCTCTGAGCTTAGTGGCTAAGTTTCTTCTGATGCCAGTGGAGCAGGAAACATAAGGGGAATAAACATAACAATTACTTTTGCTTGCTTTCACACGGAATACTACTCCTAACAGGGAATGAAATTAGAGAAAATTGTGTAGACAAAAAATCACCTATAAAGTAAACTATAGTGGTTGAAAATAGTTTAACCCTCTTAGGACATTTTGTGATTAATTTTAGCTCAGGTAAAGAAAATAAAGCTTGTGAATTACAGGTTGCAGACTATATGAATCAGTAGCAAGAAGTAGTAGATCTTCAGATTCTGGACTGCTTTTGGAAGGAGCAGAGATGGGGTGTACTTCTTAATTTAGGTGTTCCTGCTACCTCTGAATCTCCAATACAAGAGAGTCTGTGTGTGAACTCCTGCATGAGTGCATGTATGCGTGTATGTGTGTGTGCACCCAGGAATGTGAGGGAGCAAAATGGATGAGTAATTCCCAACAGACTGGCAGGAAAATCTGGAGTATGGGAAGTTAATTGAAATAAATGGCATATGGCTTGATCTTGTAAGACGGAAATCCCAGACTTATATGCTCTATAGGGAATTGAAGACTGTTTATGACTGTCTCAGATCATTTCAGCTTAGGAAACAAGAAAGCTAAATGCTTTCTAGAACTGGAAAGCCATACCACAAAAATTATCTAGGCAAGTGTTTGTACCTCTATTTTAATTAGAGATGTCTCTCTATGTGAGGAAAAACAAGGCCCGTGAGCAGGTAAGGTGTTGACACATATGCCAATTGGTTCCTCCAGTTTGGATGGTCAGGTACACTCTTTTTAGAGTGTATGATGGAGAGTGATAGTTGTCTAGTCAGGAGTTGGTAGCCATTTGAGATTAGTGATCATATCACACCTGCCCCACAGGCCAGAACAGCCCTTATTAACTGCTGGGAACATCAATACTTTCTTCGGTGATGTCCTTTGCTGATGAGATACAGGACTCACTCGTGGTCCTTTCTGCAGCAGAAGGGGGTGCTCAGCAGTGAAAAACTATTAATCACACCTTCCTATATCTAAGCCTAAAGAAACCCTGCTTTTCCAACAAAATTTCAGTTTAATGCAATTTTTTAACCTAACTAAAATGGCTTCAGACCCTACAGAAATGTAGAGTCAAAGTGAAAGAAAGAGATTGTTGAGGGATTTTCTACTTTGAAACTGACCTCACTGAAAGAAGTATTGTTGTAATTCCAGCTAATAGACATGGACATTTTTTTTCTCCCTTTTTTTTTTCTTTCCTGTAAACAGATCTCCCAGAAAATTTTCCTGTATTACCAAACGGTGAACATAATTCAGGAGAGAAAAGCTATGAATGTCTTACCTTTGTTTAAAAAAACCCCAACAAACATATATATATATATTCAATAATATATCTGAGTTTGCAGTTGGATTTCACAAGCAGTTTAAATCTTATGTCAGCTTTAGAATTTCAACCATAAAATCAAATTATTTTGCTTACCTGTTTCAATTAGTTTACAGAGATAATCTATGTTTCCAATAAAATTTCTGTGGTAGATAACTATAGGAAAGATAGAGCTGGTTGAGAAGTACCGATTTTTTTTAAAATAAAGTACTGGGTTTTTTTAGTCTTTAGTTGAAAGCCAAAATACTTCTGGTTTCAGAAGTCATAAATATGAATGTTAGTTTATAAAAAGGAAAACTCCTTCTAGAAGTGCATGATCAATTTTCATATGTTTAGTGAAAAAGTGAGTAATTTTAGAGAATTTCTTTTTTTTTTTTTTCACGACAGCCTTAAGAAAAGGACAAAAGAGCCATAAAAGGAATTGAACAATAAAGTTTTTAGTTTTCATACCATTTTATCTGATAATAGGATCACTATTGTTTGAATTTGTGATTTGTATGATCGTCTCTGAACTTTCCATATCAAAAAATTGTCTTTAGAGGTGCAGATGTTAGCAAGGTTTGTATGTTTGACGAACTTACTTTTAAAATCTCCTATAGAGGCAGAATGTATACAGCATATTATGTGCAGTAGAGCATCACAAGTGATTAATATACAGACAGAACTTCCAGAGAAAGGCACTTCTTGTTGACTAGCTGTACTAACAAAAGAGAATCAAATTACAGGAGCCATCAAACGTTGTACTTGGGTAAAAAAGTAGATCGCCATCTGTGCTTTGGCAAAAATTTAGGTTTAGGGTATCTGTGCTTTGGCAAAAATTTAGGTTTAGGGTATAGCAATTTATGACTGCATACAATGAAAGGAGTTTACAGCTTCTTCTGAAATATCCAGCTTTAACTATTGTGAAACCTAGGAAAAAACTGTATGAAATTGATTAGTGTAAGTCCTTCTGATCCTTAAAAAAAAAATCCTTGCGTTGTGCTTTGTAGCTATTGAGCCTATTATAATATGTATAGTCCAATCCATCTATTCAGTGATATGTACTTAAGATTACCGCAAAGTTATATTAATTAACAAATGTTGTAAGGATTGAGAAGTAAGAACTTTTTTCTAATGAATAGGACTTTTGTTCTCAGATTGTTGTTGTGCTATTGATAAAACAGTCTTTTAAAAATTGCTGATAGTTCAGCCTCAGTCGAGTTATATTTTATTGCTTTTTTTTTAATATTTATTGTTAAAAGTTATAACATGCTATTATGCTTTTGTTCTGAAGAATGTTGTGGTCAAAAATAATTTTTTTTGGTCAGAAAGTATAATTTAATGTTTCCAGCTTGTCTATTGTATTTGTGAACATTCACGTAAATTACATGCTGGTTGGATGGAGGTACACTGTTGTGAGGAAAAATTAGCTTGTAGACAAGGCAAAAAACCTGTATACAATATCCTGAATAATTCCCTCTCATTCACACAGCACTGGTTGCTGTTGGATCTTCTTCTCCATCTAATTGAGGAATAACTGTATGGAATTAGATCAAGTGTATCTGATTATCTACTAGGTCCAGATGAGAGAAAAAGCTCAAGAGAACAAAAACTTTAGTAAAGATGCACGTTTTGAGGATAATTGTCTAAAGCACCAAATATTTGACTAGAACAATAGTGTTCAGTAAGATCAGCTTGCCTTCCATTATTCATTTTATTCATTCCATTGTTCCCTGTTCATTTCAGATTGACCCATTGATATATGCAATATATCAATCATTTAATAAACCTGATTCAGGAAGTTATTTGCAATTTTGCATCTCATGAAAGTTTGACATCAGATTTCATGGTCTTATCATATTTTACAACGTGTTCCCTGGTTGCTGTAGCAACGTTGTTGCTATGGATTACACAATGGGAGTCAGTAGGGTCAGCAAAGATCAGAGCCCCGCCATTCTTCATTCAAAGTCAATTGTCCCTGAAAAATGTGACTTACTTCAATATTTAAGGCCTGGGTAGTGATATTAAACCAGAATGATACTTCTGTTTAAAACCTATAATTAACCTTGTCTTCAACTCTAGGTCACACATTAATAGCAATTTCATAAAGTGGACATTCCTCTGTCTTACATTCTCGAAAGCCTAGACAGGTTTTAAATAATATGTCTCTTGGAAAAATACATGGGTAATCGTTGCAATTTATTTTATGTCATTATCTAAGCCCTTGAGACCTCACATTCCCAGCTCCTCTCCCTGAGGTAATTGCATACATCTTGGGAATGTGTGAAATGATGTTAATATTCAGTGCACCATGCCTCTTCAGAACATCTGCCTACAATGGCACACTGTCTAGATGTTTCTCTGCAGAAACTGTTTTTGAGTAATATGAAGCAGTTCTCCCAATGTCCCAGGATATTTAATGATTCCCTGGATCCCAACAAAGTTCTTAACAGTTTCAGTTGTAAAGATATCCTCTGCAGTTTGGTGATGCAAGTGACACCAACTGACGCATTCCGTCAATATTTTTTTCTTTCCTCAAATTAGAATCAGCAGTACCATTTCTATCTGTAAGTTATTCTTCTGTCTAATGCCTGTTTAATAATATTTATACCCACAGAATATTCTGGGAGAAAAAATTGCTTACAGAGAGACTGTTTGAGATTCAAAGCTTTAGGATGAAATGACTGAACTCTACACTCTTGTATCTTGTATTGTCATTACCTTGTGCAAACTGCGTTCAAAATGTACCATCACTCAAGGCCAAGGTAATAAACAATCAAGTTTCAGGTGCTTAAAAGCATTAGAATTGAGTTTATTTCCTGTAAAATTTAACTTGAAAAATACTATGAGTGACCTAATTTCCTGCTTGTTTCATAGTATCAGTTGTAACTACATACAATACAACAGATTCTTGAAAGGCAGAATAAATTTTCTTTTCACAGTATTTTATTTTGTCGCTCTTTGATTAGAGTCTTCAATACTATTATACACTCCCATCTCTTAAAGATAAATCAATTAATAACATTTCTTTCTAAAGTAGTTAATTACTTTGCAAACTAACTTTGTAAATTAGCCTTGAACAGCCCCGCAGAACCTCACAGTGCATCCATTTAACAGAGAAGGCAGCTGATGCATAACACAGATGCAATTTTTTTAAAAGAGTAATCAAACACATATTCTGCACAAGAAAAGTAGTACTTTCACACCTTTGTTTGATCAAGCTTGTTTTCCCAAAACCCCACCTAATCCAGTCTTCAAAAGGAAATCTATTCTCCTTTTCTCCATAGATCCTTAGCAGTTAACTGAATATCGATGACTTGCTGCAAACCCCCCCCAAACAGAGCACAGACCAATCAGGATTCATCTCACCCATCATCTGTGCAGATGTGGTAAGTTTGCTGCCTAAAATTTCTCTAGCACAATGGAGAGAGGTATGTCATTCATTCTGTACTGACAAGGTGTTTAGGATTGATAGGTTTTGGAAGGGGACTCACAGTCCTATTGCCCACCTGTACTCAAAAGCGGTTTGTAGTTTGCTGAGGAAGTAAATTTTATTCAGCATATGTTCCTGCTGTAATCTAATCTCCATAGGCTGAAGTCTTGCTACAAGTTTCAGAGGAGATCTTTTGACTACATGTTCTCCTTTCTCCCTAGCATTTACCTTACCTGATTATTTTAGGTATCTTATATGTTAGCTCGTGAGTATTCTTATTACAGCAATACCTTTTTATTATGGCTGAAAAGTCAAGACTTGCTTTCCTCTGAAAAAGTAGTGGTGTTATGTGATAGTCAATTCTGCAAACCTAAACAGAGGTGTGGCTTCTGTGAGGACTGTAGGGCTATTCAAGCAATATTTGCCCATGATGAGTTAAAGAAAGCATACTATTTGTTACTCTGTTGACATTAGCTATGCAGATGAAATATGAAAAACAGTCACTTTCTCCAGGTACCATTTTTTCTCTAATTCAATTTAAAAGGGATATCAGTGGTGTGACATGCTCAATTCAGAAATCATATGAAAAATATAACTGATGCTGAAAAAATGAAATGATTCAACACTTGTTTCATTATTAGAAACATCAATTTCTAAACAGCCAATTACTTTTTTGGGTAATTCATACTCAGAAACTCAAATGTAATTTTGAAAAATGTAAATTATTTCAACATCACACAGTGAAATGAAAGTTGATATAACTGAGGGACTTGTTAATGTCATAACATCACACAAACCAATGCATATGGGAAAACAAATTGTTACACATTTTCTTTGACTCTCAACTTGGATCCAAACTTCAGTCATATGACAATTCATCTTTTCCAATTAGCAACACTATTTGGAATGACTTTCCTTTTTTTTAATGTAATCATTTTTAATGAACCTTGTGATCAAATACACCTCATTATCTTTCATGAAGAACTGAGACAGACAAGCTGATTATTTAAAACAGTTAAAACTGCTTTACATTAATTTAGCTTTGATGGAGTAAAAAAATGTGAAGAAAGAAAAATAGAAAGATTTACTTTATCAAATTATTAAAGACCTTTACAAGTATGTTCAAGCCAAATTATTTTTTGGACCACAGGTAGCAGAATATAAATAATAAATTTTATCTTCAGTTTTTAAAAGGTTAATATAATGCTATTTTTTTAATATTTAAATAAAATACTTTTTTTTCTTTTCGATCTACTTTCTCGTAATATCCAAACAAGAAACCCTTTGGAAATGTATAGAGAAAATCACAAGTCAAAGCAAAATGTATCTTTCTTTTTCAGTGAACACTTTTTCTTTGGTTTGGTTTTCTTAGCACTGTAGCAGTCAACTAGTGTAATTACTGATCTTTCTGTCTGGTGAATGTCACCTGTAAATCCAAATTAAAATAAACCATTTAATTAGATTTTAAATACATTTCTGCTAAAAGGGTGAAATTACCATTTCTTACTACCTAAATCATGCTATAATCAGTTTAACCTCTTTTGCACCTTTGTGGTTCCTTCAGAGGAATATTTTGCAAGTAGACCAAATCACTTCAAAATAAGCAGGCATAGAAGAATTTAGCTCTATGAAGAGTGTGTTATAAATAGGATTCAATTTCTTCTCTCTGTCTCTCTCTTTTTTTCCCCCTCTCTTCTCATTTTCCCCGTGTCTTTTGTAATTATCTCAGTTTAATTAGAAATAATATAAAATCATTAGAAATAAAACTTTCCTTTCATCACACAGGTCACTTAATAGTGTCCTCCCTCTTTCTGTGTCAAGGGAAGCTGAATGGTATTTCCTGAATGACATTTCAATAGAAACCTACAAATACAAAAAGATCAAGGGATACTGTATGGATGAGGCAGATTCTTTTTATTTTTTGAAGGTGTGAAGAGTCCCACTTATTACACACCTACATACTTATGCACATTTTTTTCCTCACAGTCTGTGCCTCGCTCTTCCGTCCTTCCCTCACTTCTGTACCAAGGGGGTTCACAGCCCATGCAGGCACCAAGAAAGTATGCTGTTTATTCCCCCTGTAAACAAAGTGTGGGTCTCATCCTCTGCCAGCTCACTGTTGAGTGAGATAAGCAGACCTCCTATTGCTGAATTATGATCTTTCTTTCAGGTATATGCCCCCAGGATCTATAGCAATCCCTCTAACAGCTTGAAAAATGGAAGCATTTTCAAAGACAAGCTTGCTGGTACTGAGACTGACAGACTATGAAACCTTGTTGTTATTCACACTCTGAGAAAAGACCATTCGTTGGCTTTCAGCTCGTCTTTTCATCCGATTGTTTCCCAAGCAGTTATTTAAGTGATGATAACATTTTTTTAATTGCAGGTTTAATTACAGGAAAAGTCAATTATCTCATATGTACAGCATTTTACATAATGAAGGAGCCAATTTTAAAACAACAACAACAGCAACTAAATTACGGCTCAAATATTTAGCTCTTGAAATTTCCTAGTGTGATTTTTTTCAAGTAATCTTTGTTTGGTAGGGCTATTAGAAATGGTTTATTATATTTAAGATGTTCAGAAGTTGCTAGTAAAAGTATCAGCAATTTTCAGAAAAAATTTTAATTATTTCTTAATAAATTTACTAATCTCTGCTGCTGGATCAAATCTTCCACTAGGGTAAGTCAAGTCAGCTGTAGTGAGGGCTGTGAAGGCCCCTTTATATAAAAGGGACATTTGACCAATTTTGTTAGGCATATGTCTCAGGTTGGGTTAAATTTGTGAACAATGTGTAGGAGTCCTGAAATATCTGTTCAAACCAAAGTCACATTGACCTCCTCACTTTAAAAATACAGTGCTTTACTAGAAGTTTTTTCCCAAATACAGGTTGACCCCAAATTTTGTGCAATACTGGACCATAAATATATTCCGTTACAGCATTTGATGTTGGTCTCAGAGGGAAAATCCCAGTGATTTTTCAAAATTTTTTCCAGATCACTGCTACAATAGCTGTCTGTTTTTCAATACAGTAAATATTTATAAGGAAAACTGCCTGTTCAAAATAATATAGCAGCTGTCTGCTCCAACATCCCCCTAGTGATTCCCTCCATTACTGTACTGCTGTTGCAGTCAATCATTCAAAGTCTCATTCACACAGCCAGATATGGAGAAACATCTTGAGTTAAAAGAAGATCCAATCCTAAGAGAAAAGGAAGAAAGAATGATCTCCAAAGAAGTTTAATGCTAACAGTATAGAAAAATACCTTTAGAAGCATTATTGGCACATATGTTGATTCTGTTGGTGGGAATACAGGGACATATTGAGCAAATGTGTTTAATGTGCATCTACACAAACAGCAATATGAAAAAGCCTTGTTCTCTCATGCAAACACAAAAATCCAAGTACAGTTTTGATGGTGGCAATTCTTGATTATGTCAGACCGTGGTGGGTCTGATGTTCAGCTGTGACTATTACCACTGCCCAAGGCTGCTGTGGTGGGTATGCTTCTCTTTCCTACCATGGTCTGTCATAAACTATGTGAAAAGCTGGCAAAGTCTACACATATGACACTGGCCATAGAACAATGCCTATGAAGTGACCTCGCTAATTGACTCAGATGTCATTGCCTTTTGCAAGTTCAGCCTCTGGAGCAGCCAAAAGCACCGCAGAGCAGACCAGAACTGCCATGCTTGGGCATGACTGAACAGACCTTCAGTGGGATAGAGAGTGTTTTGTGAGATCACTGGTGGAAGGTCCTAATGTGCTTTGCATCCTCATGGGGAAGCTCTCAGTGCCCTTTCAAGGAGGTGTGTGTATAGTGGTGCTGAGAGAAGGTGAGGTGGAACATTAGTTTTTGTTAAATTAGGGTTCAGAGTTTCAGATTTAATAGTAGTCTTTGAGTGTAATAATTTTCCTCTTCTTTCATAAAGAGACACATGTGCTGTGTTTAACCTGAAGTGCTAAAGAACCAAGATATGGAGTATCTCCCAGTGCTTCTGATGTCTGAACACAGCTATTTAGAAGACTGGGTGCATTTCAAGTCTTGTCACTGGAATGCAGGTGATGTACTTCACTGCCCATTCATGCATCTGTTTAACACCAGGCTTTCTTAATACCCTTTAGGCTTCTTACTCTATTGGCTTCCTAGGCAACATGAAAAATGAAAGCGAGATGGAGTCTGAAAGGTCTGAGCATGCTCCATTATGAAGACTGAAAGCAAATATTCTTCATTTTTACATGGTTCTTTTCACAGGGCGGATATGCAGCTATCAGCCATGGATTAAGAAACACGTATAATAACTGTTACTTGGGGTTTTTTCTCTCTCTCTCAGGAATTAATGTAGTTAATACTATGGGTCAAGAACTGTATATATTCAGTGGCTTTTTTTTTTTATGTTGAAAGTTGGTTACTCTTGACTTTTGATTAAAGAATTTAAACCACTGATTTTTTACCACTGCTTTCATTCTATTGGCATTGACCGTGAACGTAATGTAGGGCTCTTATCTTAACCTATATGATATTCAGAGGCGTAAGTAGGGTGTTAAGTATGCCACTGATGTACTGTATGAATGTTGTGTTGATTTTGAGACCTGAACAGAGATTACACTAGTCATAGACATTACGGTAGCCACAGAAATGAGATTTTAGATTACCTTTCCAACTGTTGTTTGGTTACCATGTTTCATAGGGTTGAAATAGTTTGAATGTCTAGGTAAGAAGGATGTAATTTTTGCCTACTAGAGATTTCAGGGCATAATGGATATCCTCTTCTGAGTTTTTTTTTAATTAGTTTAGAACTTCTAATAATCTCTTTAAGTTATTTCAGTGAAGAAATGAGCCCAGAAGAAAAGACTAGTCCTTTAGCCTATTTATACCATATATATTTGAACAAAATGCCAAAAATGCCTTGAAGTATAACATTCTTTCCTTCGGAGCATGTCTGAAACTCTCTGCAGCAATTTTTGATTGCCTTGATAGTTCTTCCAGAGCTGACAGTAAAACATGGAAAATATAGCAAAATAGAAAGAATATAATTACAACTGTAACTACATTAGCTATTTTTTTCTAAATGCCATCTCTGAAAACAATTAGTATCTCTATGATTACATGTGTGTGTGGTAATCCATTGCCTGTGGAAATTCACACAATTTGTCTCCATATTCTAATAAATTCTGCGTAGTACACAGTATTTTCTTTCCTTGGACTTAAGAAGTTAAGTGTAAAGAATTTTACAAATCATTCAAAAGCTTCTCCTGATCCATTGAACTTAAAATAGATTAGTCTCAAGGGAAAGTCAACTTTCCAGACACTGCAATTACAGTGAATGATAGCAAGCCAGAGACATCTGTTTAATGGAAACCTACAGACCAGTATAGCTAACTATATAATTCACTTTTTATTCCTCCTTGCACCAGGAATTCTGGGCTGCTGATCTACTCAATGCCAACATCTCTGCCCAGACTGAAAGTAAAAAAAAAAAAAAAGATAAAAAGAGTAATAAGAGACTTGACATGTGAGAAAATGTAAAGTTACAGGTGATTGAAATTAGTTTGTCATTCACCAGAGAGACTAGCAAAAGAACACTGGGAAGAGAATTTTATTCTGTTTCTGGAGGTACTCATCCAGATATTAATAAAACTGCTATGCAGTGCCTTGAGGACTCAACAACGTAACTTTCACAGGGCAACTTGCTAAAGAGAATAATTATATACAAGGCATGTATTCCTCTATACAGCCTTTTAAGCAATGGGATTAGCTCTTCTAAGCACAAAAAATGCTGCAAATAGAAGCAATTTCAGGGGATAAACATAATATTAAGAATTCTAAACCCCACTTATGCAATGACTAAAGCTCTGCAGCCACTTTATTTTGTGCTATACTCCCTTCAGTTGTCAGAAAAGAAGCATGGTTTGGGTCCTAAGTCTAAAGGAGCATGACCGCTACTTGGAAAAGATGTTAAAATAGGCCAGAAACCACTTAAGGTGTAGACAACAGTGCTGGTTCAGTGAGCCATAGCCTTTGTTAAGGAAACTTCCCTCTCTGACCATCCAGGAGCCACCATGGCAGTCATGCTCGCACCACCTGAGCTGGGACCAAGGCCCCTTCATAGATACACACCCCCCACACACAGTCAGACTAGGTTTCCTTACCAGGTTTCCCATAGCAGAGAATCAGGTATCCAAATCCTTAAAACACTTTAATCTGGGTGCAATAACTAAATAACAAAATAACAGCTTGAGCTGGTGTCTCCAAGGAGGGACCCCGAACAAAGGGACCCTTGGCCTTTTAGATCCCCACAGTCTATGGACGGGAAAGTCTAGAGGTCGTCAACAGCCTAGAGGTCATTGGCTCCTGCTACGTCTCTGAGTATCTGATCCCCTGGATGGGCCACGGGTCCCAGTGCCCTTTGTTAGGCAAAGAGTCAGAAGTTCACAGCCCCTTACCTCCTGCTCCCCCAGAGCTCAACCTGCAACTGGCACTGCAGCTGCACACCGAGCTACCTGCACTGAATGTATTCTTTAACAGCCTGTCGTTTCACTCGGTGTTGGTATAGGGGAACTCATTAGTGTTATGTTTTAGTTGAGCTGCAGCATAGCACTAATGAATCATAGAGTCATAGAATATCCTGATTTGGAAGGGACGGACAAGTATCATTGAAATCCAACTCCTGGCCCTGTCCAGGACAGCCTCAGGAATCACACTGTGTGCCTGACAGTATTACCCAAATGCTTCTTGAGTTCTGGTAGGCTTGGTTCTGTGACCACTTCCCTGGGGAGCTTGTTCCAGTACCCAGCTACCCTCTGGGTGGAGAATATTATTCTAATATCCAACCTAAACCTCCTCTGACACAACTTCAGGCCTTTCCCTCAGGTCCTGTCACTGGTCACCACAGATAAGAGATCAGTGCCTGCCCCTTCACTTACCTTCATGAGGAAGTTGTGGAAAATGACATGAAAAAGGGAGAATGAAGGAGGTGTTTTCTAGGAGAATTTCCCAAATGGGAGGGAGATTCTGAAAGCAAAAAGCTACTGTCTCACTGCAAAATACTGCTGTTGGAGAAGCTCAGTCTATAGGGGGTGGATGTAATGTGGAAAGGTCCTGAGAGTGGTAACATTACACAGGTGTCAAAACTAGACTTCTATTCCTTAGATGATCACAGGATGGACACAGAGGAATCTTGTTACCCGTTTTTCATTTCTGGCATCTGGAATAGCTTGGTCAAAGTCTAATTCAGATTGCTGAAATATGCTGAGAAAGACATCACAGCTGTATTTGGCTTAACACAGTGTTTTCAAATGGACATAGAAAATGGTATCACTGAACAGTTTCAAACATGGCTCATCTTTGGGCCTTCTATGTAGTGTTAGTTTAATTTTATGTTATGATGTTTTTTGCTTTCTTTACCTGCCTGTAGGGAGGGTGCAGAATTTAGCACCGTCTGAAGATTCAACAGTAGCAGCTGATGGATAACTCTCAAAAATCTCACTGCTGAGGTTCACTTCATTTGTTAGAGGAGTGTATCCTGAAAAGATCTGAAGCAACTGGAAATTTATAAAATAAATAATAAAAGAATGGTGGGTAATTTTTTACAGCTACATATCACAAGAAAAACTGTATAACCCAGTAATTGTCCATTGGCAAACTCTTGAACAATGGAATACAAATGCTCACCTGTAGCAGCTGCTAGTACATAATTTTTTTTTATGTCAGTGGCTGCTCGTAAACCCTCATCATGATTTAGCCTATTCTCTCTCTTATGTAGTAGACCTTTCCCACTGAATCCTTAAAATACCTTTTTAAAAATACAAAGATACGCAATTTGCTGGGAAGTATTAGGAACTCTCCATATTAATATACAGTCCAGTGAATTTCTATCCACAAAAAACTAGGAAATGAAAAGCATATTTGCAAGCATACCAGTCACGTGTTGACTTCTGCAGAGACCCATGACTTTTCATGGTCACCATGCATACCAAAACTACGATCACCAGCCATATCTTCACTCCTCGAGGTGCTCACCTTTTCTCACTTTATTTCTGGACTACTTCTTCTCAAAACAAGGCACTAATATGAACTCAGGCAGCAAAGAAAGGGGATCTGAAACAATGCTCCTGAACTTGCCTGTTGATTTTCAGGGCTTGTGATACTACTAAGTTTTTGAGCTTAATGTACTGCCTTAATTTTTAGGATTTTGAGCAAGATGTTTGTAGTCAGGAAGAAATCTAGTTATCATCAATCCTCTGCAGCCCTCAAAATCAAGTTGGGGTGATTTGACTGCCCAGAGTCAACACAGGGGTTTTGGTGCTAGGAGGGGTGTGTGTTACAGGCCCTGGGATACCTCCTTAAATTCACCAGTGATTTTAGATCTTTCAGAAACTGAGTTAGTTCACTGTGTTTAAATTTAGATATTTAAGTTGTATGTGTAAGAGGCTGATGTTTGAACCACAACTGAACCGTCTATTTTCTCTTCCTTAAAATAATTTTAAGTAATATCTTTAAATTATCCATTATCACTGTGCCCCCCAAAGTATGTATTTAATGGCAAATTTGTAATGCTACATAACAATCTATTCTATAACTTATATCTAACACATTTCCTTTTTTCCTCAGAGCCTCTAAATATGGTTTCTAAATCTTCTGAACCTATTTTCTTCCCTGACCTATATCTTATCAATATTTGATCCATAACAATTTCTCACACCTCTGTGGCTTGATCAGAATCTGTCTAGATGAGGCACTAGCATTGCTTCAAAGCTCTTTAATCATTGTATTGAATTAATGCAATTACATGCCTGATGCATTAGAAATCTCACCTTGGGTCTCCACATTTGCAGCTCATTTGGAGTCCTCTGTAACCTTTTTTTTCCCCCATCCTGGAGGCAGGATTTCCAGCCTCCACAGGCTTATCTGTTAATACTACTAAACAGAACAGTACATAGAGAGATGTTTGCAGTAGAAAGAAGGTGGAAGAAAAATAAATAGCACACTAGCAAATAAAATAAGTGTTGCTTTATTTCCTTAACTCAGTGGACTCACTGCATATATAATTGAAATGGGT